ATGTCTCTGCTTTTTAATATGCTGTCTAGGTTTGCCATAGCTTTCCTCCCAAGGAGCAAGCGTCTTTTAATTTCATGACTACAGTCTCCGTCTGCTCCCTCTGATCTTGGAGCCCAAATAAATGAAGTCTGTACTGCTTCCATTTCTACCCCTTCTTGATGTACTGGTATTTTGCGTGTGAATATTAGGTTGCTAGAGTATCAGCAAACTCATGGCATTCTGAAACTGAAGACATTTTCAAAGGCTCACAGTACAAAGTAATTTTGATCACATGATCCATTTTTATTACTGATCCTTGAAATCACAATTAAACAGATTAGATAACAAAGTAGCCGCTGAGTCAGCTATGTGGTAGATTAAGAATGTGAGTACTCACAAAATTTGAGGCTATCAAATAAATTGTTGAAGTTTTCATTATTTCCTTCCATGATAAAGAATATAAATATGATTGCTGTTTCCATTAATGGTTACAATTAATGGTTAAATATTACAAATACACATTTGAAAATCATTCACATTTTTATATATAATTTGTACTGCATACTGTAATTATTTTATTTATCTTAAACTGATTTGGGATTTCTCTTAGCCCTTTTATTCTTTCTTTTGCAGTTTACCTTTTTTCAGTGATATGCCTATATGCCATGCTATAATGTCTGAATACAATTTTCTATTTCTAGCTGTTGAAGAAATGACATTGCACTCATGTAGGGGAAATGCTTTTCATACTAATTTTATTTATGAGGTGGTGTAAACAGCAAGCTGACACATTTCTTTTTTCGTTATGTAGTTTAATATAAATGATGACATCTCTTTTCTTAGTAATGCGAACTATTACATATATTACCAAATATTTCTTTTAATTAAAGGGGCAATGTTCTTAAAACATGTTGTAATTGTTGATTTTAACATCAGATTTATATGGGCAAATGTCAATTCCTACGTGTCTGGATTAGTAATGTATTTACATTAAGAAAATAAAACTAGAGCACTAACTAATTCAACAGGTCTGAGGAGGAGGTGCACCAGAAGGTAGTAATAACTGCAGAAGAAAGTTAGAAAGGCTAAACACAAAGGATCTTAGGCTTGCAAAGAAACCTAAAAGCTACAAAAAGTGGGTTGGGGCTCTGACAATAGTAAAGGAAAGTAAAATAAAGGGATAGATCTGCTGCTAGGAGAAGATGGTAAGAAAATAACAGGGAATGGGAAGAGGGCTGGGGCTCCTCAACTTCTAGTTTGTTTTGGTCTTCTCCCTAAATGAGAACTCTGCTCAAATGAACTTTAGCAGAACAATTGACAGAAGGAAGGAAGGAAGGGCAATCCAAGTTAAGAAAAGAAATAATTAGGGACTACTTGGCTACTGTGAAGCTTTGGATTATGTACCAGTAAGAAACATAGTTGGACCAAAAAGCCTTGGGGACAGTCATGCATGCCTTGTGTAGCAGTGTACAGCAGCTAAGCACTGTTCACTATCATGTCACATAAGCTCCCAGACAAGCAAGTTCATGAATAAAGTGTGGGAAAAAAACAGATAACAAGCTTTTATAACAGGCAGACACTTTGTTATGTAAAATAATGGGGGTGGAGATACTTGAAGAAAAATGATGAATTATGAACTACAATGGATCTGGACAATTTGAACTGCTGAAGGCATGTTGGTTCCAGGGAAACTCATGCAAGACTCCTGTAGAATTCCTGGGTGGGGTCCAGAGAAGACCACTAAAGTAGGTAGTAGAATAGTGAGGGACACGTCTTCTCAGTATAGATGGCCTTGGGGAAAGCTGTAGAAAGCTGTCCAGTTCCTGCCAACCTGAGAAGGAATGCAGAACATTATAATTAACACTGATGTTCACATTTAAGTGAAAAGGAGGTGGTAGAAAAAGCTGTACATCTAAATATCCACAAAATTAACTTAGCTATATTGGCACAAGTCACAATACATTTCTGCCACATTTCTATTCCTTTATACGACTGGAGTCCTATATGGTATAACCCCAAGATATATCAGGAACTCTTTGCCAAACATATTGTTCTTTCTTATGTGATTGTTGTCCATAGTCTTATGAATAGAATGCTATCAAATACTGTAAACTTAAAGTGATGTTTTATGTATAGCTCAGACTCTGATATTATTTCTATGTAATAATTTTACAGCCATTTTTATCCCAAAGCTGAATTTTATTTGTAATAAAAATTACATTAATATTCAATATTTTGTAATTTATGAATGATGTCTAAGCAGAATTATTTCCCTTTTTCATCAATATTACCTCAATAGATTTTTTTCCTACCATAAACTAACTTAATAAAGAATATATAGCATGTATTCACTCCATAAAGAACTGTGCTGTAAAAGCCTCTGGTTCACGTGCTTTTCTTAAGCTCAGTAGGGGTTTTCTTGAAGCATTCTTTGCTGATGGAAATCAAACTTGATTAATTGTAGTTGTTCGTAACTATTGGATTACAGCTAGGAACATGACTAGGAAAGACATAATTGCAAGAAAATTCATTTGTTTCTGTGATTATTCACAGTTAAATTAACAAAGTTTTAATATGCTCATTTATTAAAAGGGTGAACCAGGTTTCATAGGTCCGCAGGGAGAACCTGGACTGCCAGGACTGCCAGGAACAAAGGTATGATTTACATTTTTTCCTTATTACGCACAATTTGCTTTACATCAGATCAGTTGGAGCCTAATTGTTAGCCTAGACACTTCCCTACTCAGCCATTAGAATCATGCCAAACGGAAAGTTTATCAGAATGAGATCACAACTCCACCCACTACAAAATGTGTAATCTGTATAAAATAAATTAATTAAATTAAACTGCTATGAACTCAATCAGGAATGATGCAACTTTGATTATTTATATATGTTCTTAATTGAACAGGTGAGACTTCGTCTCATTCTTCTTTTTAAAAAGAGTGTCATCATTGCCTAAAGCTGCCTTTATTCCTTGAAACCAGTTTGAACCATCAACACATAAAACTGTCTGGAAAACTGAAACCAATGAATGAAAATTGGATTATGACATTTTAAATATGGGAAACATTATCTCTTTTGCCTTTTTTCCCCACCTGTACTTAGATAATGTTCAGGGATTATTTACTTTTGGCAAATCAGAAGGGGGGGAAAGCATATACTATACTATGGTACTGAAATCTGTTTGCACTCCCTCCCCAGAACAGGTTTGTTACTACTGTATGTGTTGATCAATTGCCAGTTTGACATACCCTTTGATATTACCTCTCTTTCATGTTTCAACATGACAATTTGGATCAATAGCCAAAGTTACTGATGTTCTATGATGCTTCTGTGTATATGCTCTGTGATTTTTAACAGGGTGAAAGAGGAGAAGCAGGACCTCCTGGGAAAGGTGAACGAGGTGAGCCTGGAGCTCCAGGGCCAAAGGTCAGTTTGGTTTCACTTTGAAATATTTAGTGTGCTTTTGAGAGCTCTGGGTTTAGCATGTTCCTTAAAGACACCCTCTGTTTCTGGATGTTAAAATAGAACCAAAAAAAATCAATTTCAGTGTGATTGAACGTGCATTCCAAAGTGATTTAAATGTATGTCATTCACTTTACAGCACAGTCCAGTCAAAATTAATGAATCAAACTGAGGACTTCCATATTAATAATCAAAACCTGCCACTATGCATTTATTATTTATATAGTCATACTTAATAAGGTTTAAAATGCTTCATGGACACAGAGGCAGCTTTACACAGATTTCATCATTTTTTGTGCAGTAGAATTTTCAAAATTCTATATGATTACTAATTGTGCCTAAATAAGGAAGAAAGGAAGAAAGGAAGAAAGGAAGAAAGGAAGAAAGGGAGGGAGGGAGGGAGGGAGGGAGGGAGGAAGGAAGGAAGGAAGGAAGGAAGGAAGGAAGGAAGGAAGGAAGGAAGGAAGGAAGGGTGGGTTTCTTTAAAATCTAACTTCACGGAGTGGCTCAACTGATGTTCTAGGTTTTCATTAGCAGTTTAAAACCTGTGCATAATAAAGTCCTGCTAATATGAAGTTATCATACAACATAGATAAGAGCATGTTTTGGCATTATCTCCAGAACAAAACTCTAGTGAAAAAAAAAAACTCTGTTGAACTGAGCTCACCTTCTAGTGACTACATGGATACATCCATGCAATTTTCTTGGCAACAATATGGGAGTGGTTTGTCATTACTTTCTTCCAGGATGTTTTTCCAATTTCCCAGTTCAGCTGATAGGCTTGGATTTCATGGTGATCTCTCATCCAAGTACTAACCAGGTCCAAGCCTGTTCAGTTTTTTTTTCAAGAGTAGCCAAAGTTGCCAAGGTGCAGGGATATAGTAGTACAGGGGCTTCTGAGGATCAACCACTTTTATCAAAATGATACAAATTCCGCTCCTTTTGTACATGAATGTACCATCACAACCTAGGAATAAAAGGAACAAAGCTTGCGTTGTATCAACACAATGCCGTTTTCATCATTTGCTCCGTTTGACCCCACCAAGCCAAATGCTTCTGACTATGTGTCAAATTCTGTGTATGTCAGTTAATTCTCCCCAGTGTTTTACCAAGAAATTCAGATTGGCGAGGCACTATTTCAATTTTAAAGGGAATAAGAACAGAAAATGGAGATGCAACAAATGTCGTTTCATACAGCGCAGCAAAACATTTTACAAAATACTTTACAGTCAGTGTCTTTTTATTTAACTTCTACTTTGTGTAACTTATTTTTTGTCTGTGATTGTGCAGAACTCTGTAAATGAGCTTCCTGATTATAGTACATTCAGAAGAACTTCAATTGATACTTTTATTAAGTCATTTGCATGATCTGGAAGGAGGCCACTTTTGTTAAAGAACATAATTCAGTGATAAGAAAAAGCACTAAATTATAGCTGTTTGGTTTGGAAGTTGCCAGAGGTGAATTCTCATTTCCAAGGCACTGTAGTAAGGAAAATGATTGAATCAAACAAATATTTTCAGCTTACAAATTGTACATTGGGCATCTTTGGATAGAAGTCATAGGTGTTTTTTAGGGACTTAAGGAAAGAATTTTCCCTGTAGCATATACGAAACACATTTAAATTTTCTTCTAATAATCCTCTCTGGTAAACCATCATAACCTACATGATTAATTAACTTTATTATATCTACATTCGTCTCTATAGTGTAACTTTATAATTAACTATTTTAATGTGCATGGTTTCTACTATATATTTACCTTCTATAGACAATACTAATTCTTCATATTTCTCTTTTTCTCTCTCCTTTCCATTTTGTATGTGTTCCAACATGCAGGGGAGGTCAGGTGAATCTGGAACTAGAGGCCCCAAAGGGTCAAAGGTCAGTCATCAACAACATCTGGTTTTATTGGTTGAATACACTAAACCAATACAGATTATTTGTCTAGTGCCATTTATGCATGTATGAATTGTGTGTATGGAGGGGTGTTATGTATGCTAGGCACAGGCTGTCCTTCAACCAGTTATTTTTGGTTTCTTTTTATAGAATGGCCAGAGACTTTCAGTTTAAAAAATAGTAAAATTATTTTCAGTAACTGAAAAGACAGAGTGTATATAGCCCTTAGCTTTTCCTAACAAAAGTTCTCATTCCCAGCTAACTCCCTTTTCTGTTCTGAGTTCTTCTTTGCTATATAAGGTGCTGTTTTTTCTTGTAATTTGCTGATTAGGATCACATTTTAGTGCAGTGACTAGGTGGTTTACACTAAAATTAAAGAGGAAATTACATGCTATTTGAAATTAGACATTAAGACTAGCAGTTAGAGGTGGGTCATGTTCTAAATGAAAAATAAAAATGTTAAAAGTGTGGAACAATTGAACCTTTTTTTGACTGGAGGGAAAAAAAGATGACGAAGTAGATTTCTGTCAAACCTCTTTCAGGAAGAATCCTTTAGACATGGTTCGGTTACCAAAAAAGGTGCTTTCTGGTGCCATTAGATAGAGGACAGCTCTCCCTGATTATTTGAATATCAAGGCAGACAAATGTGGGAATGAATCTCTTTTCAGGTTTCCATTGTGCTTTGGAACAAACTGGCTGCTGGTATTTTTCTATAAGCTTTAGAGTAATGTGATCTCCATATTTATGGCAATTAGATATCTGATAGATTACTAAAATTTCCAGGCAAACTTTGAATTTACCCCCATGTATTACAAAAGTCAATTCTAATCATAACCAAGCACAGAAATCTGGTCTTGTCCAACTGATGAAAATTTTTGTACATCACGTCAGAACCAAGTGACTACTGACTTAAGTTATTGCAATTAACAATTTTATGAATTGACTTTGCCCATTCAAACTGGTGGTTGTATCTTTCTGGACAGAACAGTCTACAAAGAACTCCCTTTTCCAGCATTCCCCTTCTGATGCTGTCTAGTGTGGAATTTTAATTTTTAGCCAGTGGGTCCAAATTACAGTTGGCTGTGAATGCTAAGTGTTGCAGACCAAGATATATGGGAGGTGCCAAACCGGAGGAAATGCTTTGAGAAATTCATTAAATAATTTGTAGAACTCCTGGCACTTTAGTTGTTGTGAGTTTAAACAATGTTTATTGTAAAAGTATCTTGCAAACATGTTACAGTCTTCTAAGGCATACAGTGTATAGCTTTCTCTAGGCTAATGTCTTTTTGACACAAATCAAGTAATTTATCTTGATTGAAGGACAGACTTAAATTTGATTTTAACAAGACAAATTTCTGGGCACACTATTATAGAATAAAATTAATTTGACACGTCTTTCCCAATTCAGTGATCTCTTCTAGGTATAGTTTATATCTAAACAAGCAGGAACATTTATTTTGAAATGGTTCCAAATTAAACAGCCATTGTATAATAGCATAGTTAAAAAAAAACGTTCAGCAGTAAATTAAATTTTCTTTACATCTTATGATTCTGAGCTTCATTGTTCTCCTGGAAGTTTTTTAGATTTCCTTTTATGGAGAACTGACTCTTGCTTTCTTTTCCTAAAGAAACTTGAAGCCAACATTTTTGCTGTAAATTCTAACTGACGTATAAGAAAATCCAAGGTGTACAAGATTATAGTTTGTCCAGCCCAATCAATTTTGATTAACATTTGTGTCAGACAGGGACTTAAGTTTTTGAGAGCTTTGGACACAATGTTCATTACAGACTCCTTCCAATCTTTTTATTGCATCCTATATTAGGGTAATTTATTTCTCCATATTTTTATGACTACTGAAGTCAGTACTGAAGCACATAGGAGTGTGGGTGCAAATGCAAAATACTGAAATATTTTTGTGATTACACTTTAATTCATTAGTTGTATTATTATTGATTTAAAATACTAACCCATAATTTGGCTGAAGCTCCCTTTGTGTATTTGAAAATTATTTCCCACCTCAAATTGTTGAGGTGGGAAATAATTGCTTCCTTACTTGCTGCTGAGAATAAAGTGATTTCTAGTGTGTTCCAATGAACACAATCACTGCCTCCTTCTACACTTGCTATCCAGCTCCCCAGTGAATATTCCTTCTGTCTTGATTCTCAGGACAGAACACAATATCCCCCTATCCATTTCTTTCTGCATTTTCAATTTCTACTGCTCTCTCATATTCCATATGGAAGGGGGAGGTTTCCAATCATGTCCTTGACTGATAACTATATAGCCTCTCTTTTAACATCATCTCTGAAGCAGAGTCTACCATTTTCCCAGTTAGTCTTTTGAATAGCAATTACTGATTTTTTTCCAGATGTTCACTTAAAAAGTTCTTGTCTTTTGGAAAATCTGAAGAATTCTGCTCTGTTTCCATATTACAATATTTCAGGCATTTGAAGAGAGCTGCCATGTCTTCTTACAATTTTCTTTTCTTCAGGCTAAACATACTAAACACCTCCAACCATTTTCATTGGCTTTTCCTTCCAGATTTCTTATGATTTTGGTTGTACTCTGGACACATTCCAGTTTATCAATGTCTTTCCTAAACTCCAGTGCTCAGAACAGTTTGCAATATTATAGATATGGCTTCACCAATGCAGCATAGAGAGGAATAGAATAGAACCTTTTCTAGATCTTAAACACAATACTTTTTTGATGCAGCCTACAACTGAATTTGCTTTTTCTGCTGCTGCATCACACTGTTGGCTCATGTTCACCTTTGATGCTCTAAGGCACTTGGATCTTTTTGGCAGGTACTGCTGCCCAGTGTGGTCCCTTCATCTTATCCTGTGCTCAGCCTTTGATTTTTCCTACCCAAGTTTAGGAGTTTGCATTTGTCCCTATTAGAATTCACCTTGCTGATTTTTTACAACTTCTCAAGATCCTTCTGAATCATGATATTCCCCTCTAAAGTGTTTGTTACCACCACTATCTTTGTTTCATCTGCCATTTGTTAATCCTATTTTCTAACCCACATCCAAGTTATTTACAAATGTTGAACAGTACAGAGCCTGCAGCAGAGCTCTGCAGTGAGGCCATCTGGTGCTCCAGACTGATACAAAGCTATTGATGTATACTTTTGGGTTTATATTGTTCAACTCATTGTATTATCTATCAGCCTTGCAAGGTAGTCCAGACTAGAAGTGCACCCAGAAGCACTAGCTCTGCTTTATTGTAAGGTTACATTAACAGACTCTTGCAAGTCTGAAAGTACATTTTCCCCCCATTGCCTTTACAGCCCAAGAAACTAGGGAGGGTCCCTTCGGAGACATTTGCCACGCACACATTCCTTCTGTGGGCTCAGCTGCCACTTATCTGACTGTTGCCCTGTCTGAGGCTCTTCCCCCAATCTCCCAAGGTCATTCCCACCAACCGTTAAATTATCTCTTTTTTCCACAGCAGAATTAGAATAATTAGAACCAATTCATAATTCTGGTAAAAATCAATAGGTTTGATTTTATCTATTTTTACAAAAGCATCGCCCTCCTTGCTATGTGCCCCAGCTTAAAGCGAGCGATTTCTTTCTCTCCCAGTCATCCCCAGTTATAAAAGCTCCACATGACAACCATCATTGCAGGTCTGGGGAAAAGCAGCTGCCTAAAATGCCATCATCACAACTTTAATTGGGAATGTATATGCAAGAAGGAGGCCATGTGGGTAACAAGACAGTTTTCTCCTCATACCAACCTCTTGTAATTATTGCAAAATGATCAAATAAATATATTCAAGATTTATTGAAAACATGGGAGGCTGTTTCCCCCCTTTTCTGTGTAGAGTGGGAGTCTCCCTGGAGCAAGGCAAGGGTTAAACGATGACTTTGCATTCTCTTTTGGTCAGCTGATATGGGGGGCTCAGTGGCTCATGGTACTGCCAGCCTCCTCTCAGTGTTCTCACGTTGGAAAGGATGAAGACAATTTTGGCATCAACTTCAAAATGCTGTGGTGTTTGTAGTGACTTTAGTTTTCTTCTGTAATAGAAAACTTAAAAAATATTGATCTTCATTCTTTTTTTCCCCTACTAGGGTGATCCAGGAGATAAAGGTGATTTGGGAGCAGTGGGGCCAAGGGTAAGTGTGAAATACGTTCCTCTACTGGCAGTATTCAAGATGGCTCCTTATTTTCAGATCTGGTTATGTAACCTAACTCTAGAAGGTCCATTTCTAGTAATGTATTGAAGAAAAGTGGGTGGGCTTTGAAATGCATTCTAACAGCAGTGAGGTATTCATATGCATCCTCCAACAGCCAATCCCATACACCTAAGAGATATTCCTGGATGCTTTTGTTCATCCATTCATTCATTGACATATAGGACATGGATATACTGATTCTCACAAATACATGTTATAATAATAATAATAATAATAATAATAATAATAATAATTTATTAAACTTGAATGTCACCTGACCCTCAATGATTCAGTGTATCTTTTCATACTTAACACACATTATGTATACAACCTTATACATAAAATAACTGATACATGAAACTAGGACACATACACACCCTCATAGACTGTAAAATGGATTGGAGATTTTTTCTTGTTCTCAAAAAAGAAAAAGAAAGAGAAAAAAATTAAAAAGAACAGGGTGAATGGACAACTTCTACCATTTAGGACAGACTATCAACAGTAACAGAAACAGCCGTCAAAAAATGCACTGCAGGCTCCTTTTGGTGGACTAGCAATGAAAACTTTGGAAAAGATACTCAGAATGCCAGGATGTGTCTATATTTAGAAAGATCAGAATTGTGCAGGCAGTCCCTGTGACCCTTTATGAAACTGAAAGTTGAACTTTGAAAAAGCAGAATATAAAGAGTATTGACCCTTTTGAATTTTGATGTTGGAAGAAGACTCCTGGGAATGCCATGGATAGTCAAGAAAACAAAGAAATGGATAATCAAACAAATCAACTCAGATTTCTCACTTAAGGCACAAATTACTAAGCTCAAATCATCATACTCTGAACACATTATGCAGAGACCTAGCTTTCTGGAGAAATCTATAGTGCTGGGAAAGATGGAAGAAAAGAGAAAAAGAGGACCACCAGCAGCAAAGTGGACGAACTCAGTTACAGTGGCAATCAGTGCACTATTAGAAGAAATGAAGGACCAGGTTGGGGACAGATCTTCTGGGGAAAATCAGTGTGGTCACTAAGAGTTGACACTGACCTGATAGCACATAATCAATCTAAAAAATAATACAGTGATATCACATTGGAATACATTTGCAACATCTCATATACTAGAACAGCATCAGAGTGACAGTGATACTTAGCATATTGCTAGCTATTTGTTTGACTGTACCCCAATAAATGACCCAACTATACCTGCTGGAATTACTAGATATCCTAATGTTATACTAATGTATCTAATGGTATACTAATGTATCTACTACAAAGACAGTAGAGAAAAATATTGAGAAATTCAGTGGTAAATTACAACTCATGGGATAGTGGAATACAGACTGGAAAAAATACAATCAAATATAGAATCAGTGTAAGGAGCAGATCCAGTATGCTTAAGTTGTATATGAGAAGATTTAATATGGTGAAAACTGAAGCAGAAAAAAATCAGAGTTTCAAAGAGGAAAAGGTCCAAATAGCTAGCTGTCATCATAGCTAGAAAAAGATGAAGGACAAAGGCCTTAAACAACAAGGAAGTTGCGTAATGCAGATTTCCAATATCAAACTTGAAATGACAATGAAATATAAATCAATATACTATAGGATTAGAATAGATTCAGAAACTGATTCTACCAGGAGTATATGAAATAGCCACTGAATTTTTCCAGTTGCTGGAAAAATGGCAGCTGGAGTACTAATACCTTTGGGTCAAGAATTATGGACCAAGATTGTGTGATCTAGGTACTGGAAAAGACTCAACTGCATAAATTTAGTTTTGCTAAAGGTCTTACAAAGAATAGGCTCATACATACAAAGGAATGTGAAATAAACAAGCAGGTTCATAAAAAGCAGAGGGAGACAAGATCGGATAACTAACATAAGATGGGTAATGGAGAGAGACAGAGAATGCAAAGGTTTACCTTTGCTCCTTGCTTATAATAAGGCCTTTGACTGTGTATATCTTATTAGAATATGAAATGGGCTCAGTTAATAACTGTGTTTGAACTCCTGATTATTGCACTCAGGAAACCTTGCAGGGAGCAAAAAGCTTTTGTAAGAGTTGAATTTAGAGAAACATTTCTTCAAAATAGTGATTGTATTTTTTCTACCACATTTGTTTAATGTATGTAGCAAATATTTGTAAGAATGACAGATTGGAAGAAATCATAGCTAGAATAAAAAAATGATGGTCAAAACATTAACAATTTGAAATTGTGGTTTGTTTTGATATTATTTGGTTATCCAAAAATAGACTTAGAAGTGTTCATTATTTTCATTATGAAAGTAAAGAGAGAAAGAGAAAAATCCAGATTAATGTTAAATATGAAAAAAAAATGTAGTATCAACCTGCATTCTTTGTGAACTTACTGTTGACAGCAACTAATCAGAAAGTTTTATTTTCATGAGCTCAAGCATAGATAAAAATGAACATTGTATTGTAGAAGTAAAAAGGAAATTAATCCTAAGGAGAAAGGCAATGACAGTGTTACATAAGAAGACAAAATTCCTGTCCAAAACAATGAACCTGAGACCAACTAAGTTATTTTAGGTAGAAGACTCATAGGCATTGGTGATACATCAGCAGAATCCCTGGTCTGTGCTAAGAATTCAGCAAACAGATACAAACTGGATTGTTACCTTTTAATTCTTTTAATAAAGAACAACATTGGCTGGTAAACCAGAACAGGATTAAGCATTGTTTACACTGTTGAAGGTTTAGTGGTTTGAGGGTTGATCCAGAGAACTTTGCTAAAAAGGGATGTTGGGTACTACCTAGAAAAGATGCTGAAAACCAGAAGAAGAGATGTGCCTAGCCCAACTGGAAGATTAGTCCGTGGAGCTGACAATGAGAGAAGAAAAGAGGATCAAAGGTTTTACCAGACAGAGAAAAGCCAACTACCAGTTGCCGGCCTGACTAAGAGAGACAAAATGTCACCAAGCTCTGTAAACTGTTCCTTAATTCTTAATTAGGAAATAGGTGGAATTATGAATATGGTCATGTTCACATATATTAAGCTCACATTGTAACCTGTGAATATATGTGTTTAGAGTTGTTTGGGCAGTCCAGAAAAAAAAATGTTCTCACCTGCCATTTAAATTGCTTACCAGGTAAGACTTGTGAGACGGGAGGAATCCACAGTGGAATGAAATGCAGTTAGCTATACTTGCCAAGTAAGGCTAGGAAAATGAAATTGTTTTTACTGCCTTCATTAACATGTTTTATAATGGGGGCTTGGGGCAAATGTGGTGTGTTTCCACATTTCTAGTGCTTTTCTTTTATAGGGTCCATCTGGAGAAAAAGGTGATCAAGGTGCCACAGAAATCATTGACTTCAATGGGAATATCCATGAAGCTTTACAGGTTTGTGATCAGTACACAATAAATATAAGGTGGGAGCAATATGAACACTGCTGTTCATATGTTACCAGTATAACTAAGTAATAAAGTATGTACTTTGCATTATACAATTCCTGTTTTAATTCCATCATATCAGAACTTGGAAATACATTGAATAATAGATAGTAGGTGTGATCTGATGAGTAAAAGCCAGTTTCATGTATATTTTTTTAGAAAATGCCATAAGAAATTGTTATTTGGAATAGATTATCCCTAACCTGTTGTTCTTTGGATGTCTTTGTGACACCAACATGTACAGTACCTAGTTAGCATTGCCACTAGCTATGTTGGCTGAAAGTTCTAGTCCAGCTTTTAGGAAGGCATCAAATTAGGGAAGACTGAGGTTGGCTTTCTTCTATTATAGCATTAAATAAATGGGTTGCCTCTGCATTTCCAGATCTTTGCTTACAATTTCTGGTTAATTAGAATACATTTTAATATTAAGTATTTGCACTGAGTTCATCCAAAATACCATAACAGGAAGCAACAGCTAGCTGACCATGGATTGGCAGAGGGGGGAAGCTAAGTAGGGTCAGATCTGGTTAGTATTTAGATGGGAGACAACCAAGAAATCTCATAGCTATAAACTAGACTGGGATGTTGAAAAAAAAATCCCAGAAGTGGGCAATGGTAAGTCACTTCTGTACTGTCATCAACAAAAAGGAATCAAATGCAAGTCAAGAGAATCTTTGCCCTTGCCTTTTTCTACCATCCAAAATAGTTCACAAAAAACTTATATTTTAGTTGAAGCTATTTTAATATAGGACAAATGGTTATGTGAGACAATTAGTCATAAAGAATTTTATTCTGCCTGCTTGTTGTTACCTTTACCCATAGCTAGGTAGTGGAGAGGGATGAGGTAGTGTTCTTGTATAAATTGTACCACTTGTAAACCTTTTCTGAAAAGATATTGCTACTAATTTCTGTCCAAACATCTTCCTTTTTTAAGTTACTTTGGCATAGCTGAAATCTCCATAACCATTTGGGAGTTAGCATATAGCAATGATTTACTGTTTGCTTATATCAAGACTTGAGAGCCAGTTAAGGTGTAGTATTTGTAAAAAACACAGATGCTAAATATGACAAATGATATTTACTTATACTTCATCTAGAAGTGGCCAGTCCAGTCACTAGTCCCTCAGGATGACCAAAGACTCTTCATGAAATTCTTAATCTATGTACCACTCAAGGGATTATGAATATGAAATAACAGTGATTCTTACAATGTAGTCCTATACCTATCTACTCAGAAAACTGTCTCATTATATAGATATATGATTGCAAACTTAGTTACTTTTGCCAATATTAAGCTCATTCCTACCCCTGCTTTTCAAGGAGCTTTTCAAGATATATAGAATTTAAACTTGATTCCTGTGGCTGTTGCTTAGCAGAGTAAACAAAAGTCTTGCTTTAGATATCAATCACTAACTTTACTTTCTGAAGATCAAGTTTACAAGTTATAGCAAGAGTTTGTTGCATGAACCCTTCATTCCATACTCTATATGAAATAGATAACTTTTATCATTGAAAAATAGTATGTATTTAATTTCTAATAAAATTAAATTAATTTCATAAGTGTTTATGAGATCAGTGTATGAGCAACCATCAAAATACTGAAGAAATAAACATTTTAAAAATAATATCCTTGGTGACAAAAACTAATATAAAACTATAAATAAGATATTAATCCAAAATACAGGAATGAATATGCTACATCTACAGTATATCAAGTCGGAAAACTTGTTTTGCATACCAACTGCTTAGACAAGGTTATAAAGGCTTAAATCTAAGCATTAAAGTAAATTTAAATATACTTTTTGCTAATTGCTAAAACCAGTTCTGCAGGTCTTTTAGAAGTCACACATTTTATTTGAAAAAATGTGTTGCGGTCAGATATAAGCAAATATTTGCTTTAGTTCAAGTTTGTTCATTTATAATTCTTGTATTTATTTGATCTTGCTCTATTGAGATCATTATTAATCCAGAGGTTTCAGCACTGTGCAGTTTCTCAACATAAGTTAATACCATTCAGTTTAAGTTACACTTTATTAAGTAGAATTAATTTTAATCACTTAATTGTTTATAATTCCATAAATGCATATACACTTCTTAAAGAACATCATTTGCCTGTGAGTTTACAAAGTTTGACCTTAAAACCATTATAATAAAGTAGGAAATTGACATACTGTTTCTTTATGAAAGTAAACAAAGTAATTCAAAGTAAATGCTTTATTATATGGATTGCTAAATGTGGATCCTTACATTGATCTTAAGATACAGGAGTGGTACTTAGACAATCTTCTTTTATTTTGGGGGAGCTAGTCAGATGCTTCTCTCAAACTGCCCCCCCCCCAATTCTGTGAAATCTGTTCCTAAACAAGCGAAGTATTCTATTTCACACTGAACATCTGGTAACATTATTTTCTGCTAATATATTTTGCCAACAGAGGATTACCACCCTAACCGTCACGGTAATTCCTATTGCATGACGGTGTTTTGTAGCTGTTTTCTTCTGTGGTGTTGCATGTTTAGCGTTATTCTGATTTAGAATGTGTCATTGTTTGTCAAATATTGACCTTGTTTTATCACCACTTCTATTTCTTACATCAAGTGTATTAATGGATGTATTGTGGAAAGCTAGGATTTTAGTTTGGCTGCTTCTGAAATTAATAGCAGACATGGCCATTTCAGCAAGAAAGTAGGGATTCAAGCTTTTATTAGCACTGTAAGATCTTTTAACCATCTTTATTAAAACCAGCCACTAGTGCATTTTTCAGTGGGAATTTTAAAATGCAAGAACTTCAGAATGGGCTGATCTTCCCCATAGCTTGATTTTTCAAATTAATATTTTTTTAAAAAAAATCATATTGGCTATGTTAGAAGATACAGTGCATGCTTGCTTCAAAATTGTCTTTAATTCATCCAGTACTGTTGATTTGAATTTAACTGCCAGAATAAGTGATTTTTGAACAGAGTTGACATCTCAAGTACAACTTCTGTATTTCTTCTGTATTCCTCATCAATAATGACTAAGAGGGGAAGATTTGTATTATTTCCAGATGTGGAAAATAATATTAATAGAAATTTCAACCAAACAAGTTGAAAATATCCCTGATCCTCAATTTTTGAACTTTCCTACTGAACTTGGTCTTCCTTTACCTCTACAGGTGGTATATATTGTCTATATATACAGTCATATATAGACAATGATGTTTCTAGGAAATATAGAGCCAGTTTAGTATACTGATTAAGGTACTGACCTAGAAACTGGGAAACCATGAGTTGTAGTCATCCCTTAGATATGAAAGCCATCTGGGTGACTTTGGGCCAGTAATTCTCTCTCAGCCCAACTCACCTCACAGAGTTGTTGTGGGGAAATAGAAGGAGAGAGTATTACCCACCTAGAGTTGTACAAAATAAAGGCAGGTTATTAATATTACAATAGTATTTAAGGAATATGAATTTTATAATTCATGTAAGATAATTAGGTGTTGCTAGTATTTCAATGAAGCTTTTGTTTTATTTGACACAGACCCAAAGTTTTTATATAAATAGATTTTCCTGGTTCAGTATTTCACTGCTGTATAGCACCCAGCATGAAATACCTATATGCAAAATTAGTACTGGGAGGAAAAAAAGAAGCTAGATGACAGTTTGCATTATAGATTTACTGTGTATTTCATTAAATTGTGCAGCACGTCTCAAGGTAAATTCTTACTCTTCCTGTCTTTACTGTTTCTCACATAAGGGGTAGAAAAGATCTCTGCCTAAGACCATGTAGAGTAGAGGTAGGCAGCGTAGCATCCACATGACCCAACGTGCTGCAATATACCTTAATTGGTGCCAACCAGGCTCCCATCCAAAAGCTGCATCTTTGTCCTGTCCTTCCTATTTTTTGGAGTTTAGCTCCCTGATGATGCCACTCATTCTAGCTCTTGGCAGGAAAAAGTTGGGTGTGTGGCTTTTTTTTTTTAAATAAAAAAGCAAACTTTAAGGATGACCTTTTGGATAGTTGTTACTAGAACTCTGCAGAGATCACCCAACTTGTTTTGCAGCTATACTGTGGGTTTTGGAAAAAGCCAAACACACTTGCATCAGCCTGGCAGGACAGCTCATTGCAATTCATTCCTGATTCAGGAAAATATTGGAAAAAATAGAATATCTCCTTCAGAGTCTCTTCCTTCTTTCCTTCCTTCCTGCCTGCCTGCCTGCCTCTGAGAAAGTATTAGACCCTATTTACCCTACTATATGGGCAGACAACTAACCAAACTTTTTCTAATGGAACTCCATACAGGTTTTATCCAAGACTTATTTACAAGATGTCTATACGACACAATTATACAGGTTTACTAATTCAAAGTATACAGAGAAGTGGGCAATAGTCTTGTTCTTCTCTTCTCCCAGTATTTGCTGGATAATTTTCTGGTACTAGGGACTCAGTCTTCTTTGAAATGAGATTATAGTCTTTCACTTAGCTTTTCTCAACTGGGATTCCATGGATCCCTAGACTCCACAAGAGGTCACTAGGAATTCTGCAAGAGATCATGATTGAAAAAAGATAAACATCATTTTTTGAACATCACATGTCATACAATGCTAGCACTCACAGTGGTGAGAATTTTTATGTGTCATGACTCAGCGGCTAGCCTGCTGCCTTGCTGGTATTGTAAATGTAAAACATTGTGTAGGGTTCATATTTTTTTGTGATTTTTATGCAGGGGTAACCTGAAACCTGAAAATTATTTCAAAGGTTCCTCCAGGGTAAAAAGGTTGAGAAAGGCTGTTTTAACCTGAGCCAAGCATGATTTGTCATACACATCCTAATCTCCGCTTTTTTTTCCTTTTTTTTTTTTTTTTTTGTCCTTTGACCATGTCAACCACTTGCTTAATCCATAGAATTTCTAAATTCTTAATAATTCTTAGAACGTATAGGCTTAATGAGACCTGACCCCATCTCTGCCTTTCCTTTGATCTCTATATAAATTAAAATTGATATACATTTTTTTCATCCTGCTGAAAACAGATTTTCCTATGATTCTGCTATAATCCAAAAAGTCATATACAAACAAAGGTCTTTAAGCCTTGAAACTAATTCTATTTAATTCTGCCTGCAAGCATCCTGTTCCTGCAGATGTTAGAGGCTATAAATTACTTGTTTGCTATAGACTAGTCTTAAACTAGGGATGGGCAGCCTTGTAAATACCCATACGTACCTAGGGATCAAGTAATTTGGCTCTTATTCTGCAGTCAGATTGGATATCTGACTTTGTCCACAGAAAACTATGTAGTTTGTAGTTTTCACCAGTGCTGTTTAATAATGTCATCCTGACATTTAATTGTAACACATTTTGTCTGTCTATCCATATATGGCCATTGATTGTCATAGGTGTTGTTAGTCCTTGACTGTTTTAATGCAGTGTTCTTGTTGTCATGCTTATTTCAGTATTATAACATACTAAAATACATTTCAGGAAAAAAAAATGTTCTATCAAAATATGGATAGTACCGTACTAAAGTGAATTAATTTTGTATGTAGGGTCCTCCAGGCCCGCCTGGACCCCAAGGATTCCAAGGGTCAAAGGTGAGCGGACTAATTGTATTAGTATGATTATCAGTACATTATGTATTTGGTATAATTAATAATGTAATGTGACGTCTCTACCACTGTGTACTTTGAGGAACTTACAAGACATTGGGGCAATTCAAATAAAAATATTTACTTCAACAATAACACATTATTGTATAACAGCTAAGTTTGTTCAACAAATTTAATAGAATCTTCCATTAATTTTCTTATTTTTACTCTTGAACTGTCTAAAGGCAATTTAACATACCAAACATCTGTAAAGCAATATTACATACTCTATTATTCTATCCACTATTATTCTAGTGTTCCATAGAACACTATCTATGGAAGAATTTCATGTTGTTCAAAAGATTATAGAGCTGTTCACTTGCTCCTGGTCTTTTATGAAGCCATTAGAGGGATAAATTTTGTTGAACCACATCAAGAGCCAGCAGTACTTTTTTATTCTGGCTTGTTTCAAGAAAGTATAGTTTGGAAGTGAATCAGAATTTCTAGTTCAAACAAAATGACAAACATTGGTTAGTTCAAAAGTTGGAGAAGGTACCTTTGATTTCTTCCTTGTAGCCATTCTAAAGGCAGGAAGGAGAAAACACACTGATCAAACAGACTTATTTATTTAATATTAAATTACGATATATTCCAAATAATAATGGCTCAGTGGAATTGATGAATTTGGATTTTATTTTGCAGGGTGAACCTGGATCACCCGGATTACCTGGTGCCGATGGGGAGCAGGTATTTGAGCATATCTTTACTGTATTACTATTGATAAAAGGAATAAATGATAATGGTTCATTAAAAACTGAATATAATAGGAAGGAAGGAAGGAAGGAAGGAAGGAAGGAAGGAAGGAAGGAAGGAAGGAAGGAGGAAGGAAGGAAATTTTTTTTGCTGCAGAACCTTTTTCACTATCCTTGAAGAACAAAAGATACAACCAAGATATTAATGTAACTAAATATTTTGTTTCTGAAGTTAGTATATTAGTTTACTTTAAGTTGATTTTCATTGTTACTATAATGCTCTGTTTATTGTCATAAATATGCTGTTTCAGGGGCCCAAAGGCTCAAAGGGTGATCTGGGTGACCCTGGAATACCAGGAGAAAAAGGAGGAATTGGACTTCCAGGTTTGCCAGTAAGTTTATTTAAAATTGTCTTTGATAGCAACATTTCTAATAACTGCCTCAGTATCTTTTTCTCAAAGACAATCATTCATATTATCTTTATTTTAGAACTGTCTTTGATAGCAACATTTCTAATAACTGCCTCAGTATCTTTTTCTCAAAGACAATCATTCATATTATCTTTATTTTAGAACATGTTATTTGGCACTGTGCAAAAAATTTACATAAACAGTGGAAGACAGAGGGAGATAAAAGAGTGGTAGTTTTGATTAATTTCAGATAAGACTCAGGAGAACTAAAGAAGTGAGGGTTTTGAGGAAAGCTTTGAAAGAAGAGAAGAGATAGTGAATTTTTGTGGAAGGAGCTCCAAGTACATGGGCAATGTAGTTTCATATCATGCACTGAATGTGTGTGTGTGTGTAAATAAAATTCTCCTGAAAAATCAAGTAGGTATAGAAACATAAAATCCCCAAGTGGGATCCCATTCTTGATTTCTCTTACTTCAGAAACATTTAAACTAACCACTTTGATAGTAAACCAATTAATTGTGTTTTAACTCCAAGATGTGGCAAAGCTAACTGGCAAAATTACAAATAAATATGTTAATTAAACATAGTGGGAAGTGGACTGTTTATTAGGAAAAACAATGTATCACAGGAATAGCTTAAAAGTAAGTGCAGTATTATTTGTAAGTGTGTTATTCTCCAGGTTAACTTAAATCTATTCATTTGCCATTCTGCCTGGGTAAACACTGTTGACTTTAGCCCATTACAAATTGCACCACAGAGTATTTTAAGTATGTACTCTGTGTGTGTGTGTGCACGCGCGAGCGCGTGTCTTCCTTCTTCCTTATTAATGTATTATTGATAGCCTGATCTGGCAGTATTCTGTGCATCACAGGAGGTTGTATTCCTGTGAAAAACCTGTTCCACATTATCAGGCACCTCTAGGCTGTTACTGCATACAGAAAATAAAAGATAGAGAATCTTGCTGAGTAAATAAGGACCTGAAAAGATGTTGATTAGTTTTTGTGCATATAAGACTATATACAGTATGTACATATGGAAACAGCCACATTCCTGATATTCTGAAGTTTGTAATTTCCTAGTTAAATACTGAGAAGTTATTATTCTTTGCAAGTGTGCTACTCTCACGAGGGTGATGATGTATAGTGGTACCTCGGGATACGAACGCCTCTACTAACGAACATTTCGGGTTACGACCAGCT